AAAAAAAAAAAAAAAAAGATGCTGGTGTAGGCCGGAGTGGTGGCTCAAGCCTGTAATCCCAGAACTCTGGGAGGCCAAGGTGAGGGGTTTGCCTGAGCCCACGGGTTCAATAACAGCCCGGGCAACTTGGTGAGTCCTTATCTCTACATTAAACAAAAAAATTAGCCAGGCGTGGTAGCGCACACCTGTAGTTCTGGCTACTTGGAAGGCTGAGGCAGAAGAATTGCCTGAGCCCAGCAGGTTGATTCTGGGGTGGCCGTGAGCATGACACTGCACTCCAGCCTGGGCGATGGAATGAGACTCCCAAGTAAAAAAAAAAAAAAGATGCTGGTGTAATTATCTAGTTCAGTTCTGATTGCTACTTGAAGTCCCTTAACTGCTATTATTATGCTGGCCTAAGACACAAGGCTGAGACCCATGGAGTCAAAGACAGGCTCTAGGGAGATAACACAGGCCCAAAATTGTATGCAGATATGTGTGTATGGGTACTATTGTGGGAAGAGAGTCTGTAGCTTTTATCAAATTCTCAAACAGTCCACAAACCATAAAAATTTAAGAACCACTCACAGACTAAGGCTGCAGAGGGAACTATATTCACACTAGCTTTAGAACTCAGTAAAATAACTTTCCAACATTTCAAGATCTTTTTTTTTTTTTTAAAGATGGGGGACTAGCCGGGCTCGGTGGCTCAGCCTGTAATCCCGCGCTTTGGGAGGCTGAGGTGAGTGGATTGCCTGAGCCTGTGGGTCCGAGACCTGACTGGGCAACTTGGTGAGACCTCATCTCTACAATAAATAAAAAATTAGCCGGACATGGTAGTGTGTGCCTATAGTTCTGGCTACCTGGAAGGCAGAGGCGAAAGGAATGCCGGAGCCCAGCAGGTCGAGACTGTGGTGGCAGGGAGCGACCACCGCACTCCAGTCTGGGTAACGGAGTGAGACTCCAACTCAAAAAAAAAAAATTAATTAAAAAAAATAAATAAATAAAGATGGGGGACTTGCTATTTTGTCCAGGTTAGCCGTGAACTCTTGGGCTCAAAGTGATCTTCCCACCTCAACCTTCAAGTACCTGGGATTACAGGCATGAGGCACTTCACTTGGCCATGTCAAAATCTTTTTTTTTTCTTTTTTGAGTTGGAGTCTCACTCCGTCATCCAGACTGGAGGGCAGTGGCATGCTCATGGCTACCACAGCCTTGACCTGCTGGGTTCAGGCAATCCTTCTGCCTCAGCCTTCCAAGTAACTGCAACTACAGGCATGTGCTACCACACCCGGCTAATTTTTTCTTGATTTATTGTAGAGATGAAGTCCCCCCAAGTTGCCCAGGTTGGTCTTGAACCTGTGGGCTCAGGCAATCCGCTCACCTCAGCCTCCCAAAGTGCTGGGATTATAGGTGTGAGCCACCGGGCCTGGTGATGTCAGGATCTTAAAGCATGAGGACATGCTACCAATAAAAACAACCAAAGAACATGCCACAGGTTCTGAATGACTTTCTTAAAAAGGGATTCCAAACAGGTTGTGATCAAACGCAAAAGTCCTGCAGGGCCTAAGGGACTCCTTTGAAGGTTCTGGACTCATGTGGTCAATACCTCGGTCCATAAGCCAGCCTGGGCACTAGGGCTCTATGACGAAAACCAGATGTGTCCCGCCAAACAGGCATTCAGCCACTGCTGCCTTCATCTAGTTTCCCGCCCTCCACCACCTTTCTTATCACTCTCAACACACAGCCCTCATTAAAGCTGGGCAAGCAGACTTATCTCAGACCCACCCGATCTTCTGCCTCTCCCCAGCCTTTGTTCAGCTGTGTCCCTTGTGCACAGAACATTGTTTGACTGCTTTTCCAAGTCTTTTGTAATCACCAGCCACTTCACCTGTGATGAATCTCCTCCAACTGCTGGCTTAAGGCGTTACTGGAACAGTGTGTCTAGAGAAGGCATGTGGGCCCAAGGCGCCCCCTGGTGGCCTCCCAGGACCAGCAGGCTCTCTCTTGCTCTCCTTCACCTCCCAATTCACCCTCCTGTCCGGGTCACTTCTAGTGCTCACAATACCCTGCACAGGGCTAGAATGAGTGAGATCCCAACACCACCAGGCCCTGTGTCTTTTCTACCCTTCAGCAGGCTACCTGCCCCAGCTGTATAAACACGCCCCAGTCTCTGGGTCAACTTTCTGCCCTCTCCTAACACCAACACTTTCCACACTTGCCCCAGTCTACTATTTTTTGTTTGGGAAGCTCTACCTCTCCACTCTTAACCCCAGACTCCAACTCTAGAAGGCATTCCCAAATTAGCCCTTCCCTCCCCACACTCATGTCCCCTTCTCTGTCCAGTTTCTTTTTTTTTTTTTTGACTTGGAGTTTCACTCTGTCGCCCA